AAAGGCCGGACGCGGTGGTTGTTTCTTACGGGGGATGTCTGTTCGATCAGGGTAGGGCACTAACCTACTCGGTGGCACACGCTTTGGAGTGTAGTCCTCAACATTTATAACTTCAACATCTTTGCCACCTTTCTTACTTTTCTGCTTTTTGTCTTCGGTGTCGCTGTCAGAAATATAACACCACTAGAATGGATTTATGTACGGTGGCTCCACGTGAAACAACTCGACAATTTTGTTATGCAGTGGATCACCTTCTGTCATGTACGCGATGGCAAAATCATCCCACTATATAAAAAAAAAAAAAAAATATTTTAGTTTGTACATCTATCGACTATTATCTGTAACAAAGGAAATGTAAATCATTTAAGTAAACTCACATTAAACAATTGATACCAAGTTTTGTCCGAAGCATGGTACTTGTTATGCTCGACGTCGTATTGAACACCATCCTTGTCTTTCAGCGTTGTGAAGATATCATGTCGTTTGGTATACATTCCAACACGGGTACCGATGTACTCTACCGTGAAACTCTTGGAAAACCACGCATTGAATGCGTTCGTAGCACCAAGTATGAACTCACTATTATCTGCAAAAGGAACAAATATACCACACAACTTATTTTCAAGTAAATATTCGATTAGAAACTCATCAAACTTTGGTGTCCAATGTAGGTCGTACAGATAGTCGGCCTGCACTACACCAAAATCAGGAGCCATCGAGCTTAAGAGTTTTGAAGTTTGTCGATTTTAGTGGCTTGAAGTGTGTTGGTTAAATAGAGAGATATGGAGACACCATATCTCAATAATGCTTCACATGATAAAAGCCATAAATTATGGGTTGCAGGTAAGTGAAGTCTAATCAGGTCAGCTTTGCAACAACAAGGATGATACCTAGCTGTAGACCTGCAATGATTGATCACATCATGCCATAGTCGTGAAGCCCTTTAGTCCAATCAACCTAAGCTTTAAAGAAAAGCTGAACCTAAAAAGCATAAGCCTAGATATAGACTTGCAGTGACTTGTTACTTTTCGTCATATCAGGGAATGGGTAATTAAGCCCGTTTGACCAACAATGCATGTACAAAGTACAAAGTATGCATACAATAAACCAAAATACATCATTAATTCAACAGTACAACCGAACAAAGTAGTTATACAAAAAGATCAAAACAAAATAGTACAAACTGGACCTAAATCAAAGAACATCATCATTGTTCGTCTTAATCGACTTTACTTAAAAAAACAACACAATGGAACAAAGAAAACAATGAACCAAACTGTATATCTCATAAATTTGAGCTTCTTCTCCAAAGTTCTAGCTTTTGTTTCTTCAATATCCAATTGGGTGGCCAACTCATTCATCTCATCTTCCAATGCTTTCTTTTCGGTATCTTTTATCTGCAGCCTCTCTAATAGAAGTTTTTCCATCACATTTTTGCACTTTATTTGATCATGCAACCTCTCATTTTCAACCTTAAGCTTCTTAAAACAACCTTTTTGGAACGGCGGCATATCAGGATCAACCCAAGCAAACATGGTACAAGCTTCATTAATCTGTCGTAAATAACTCAAAAATACACAGAGGCAAAAGTTACAACAAATGAATGAACAGAGCATTTTCTATAATATAGACATTAGATAGGAAACCTAACCCAAAATCAAACTGAAAAGAAAATATTTTATTCCACAAAGACTTATCGAAACTTTACCTTCCACCGAGGACATTTGTAGAACCTTCGAGCCGGGTTTTCATTAGTCGTTGATGTCAACACATCGCATTCTTCGCCATGATGACATAGTCTGACCTCCATCGGACTATTTTTGGACGATCTGTAATATCGATTGCTTGAACTCGTGTGTGAATCCTGTGACATGGGTTTTTCTGCTGAAAAGGGTAAAATGATTATCATAGCATACATTCAAATCAACATATTCTAGTCATTCCTTAGTTGAAAAATATGACGCACATGATGATAATGTATGATTAGCTACTCAAAAGAGTACTGGTGTCCAACATCAGGATCATTGTTAACAATTTATTGTTAACACAATGTAAGAGATAACAATGAACTGTTAAAAGTTAACAGTTAACAGTTCATTGTTAACACAATGGAACAAAGAGTCTGTTGCTTTGTTGACAATACAGGGTTGAAATTTGTATTGTCCAGACTTGAAATACATACAAATTTCAACAATCTCAGAAGAAAAAAAACAAAAAAGTAGCCAGACTTAGCATAAACTTCCGAGAGCAAACAAAAAGCAACAGATGATTTAAACAAAAATCATGACACTCTTAAAAAAGCACAATACTACTAAACCACAGAATCTAAATAACAACCAAGATTAAAGCAACAACAAATTATGAGATATGTAGCACATAAGATAAAATCCAACTAATCTAAATTACTTGCAAGGAAGATAATTAACATAAACACTGTACCTCATACAAAATAGCAATTGAAACTGAAACCCTAGCTTTAGTTCATTTTGTAAACTTAACCAAAATATTCTTCAAACTCATACACTGGATTAGAATTTCGCATCTCCAATTTGTAAGAAACATAATCAGACCCGTACAATATGTTGTTCATAGCATAAAGATTCTTCAATTTCACGAAGAAAATGCAAAAATCGAAAGTGACAGGTTAATAACTTATGATTGCTGGAAAATGGTCGTACCTCTCACTGCACTGCCGTCGGGTTTATTCTCGTAGCACTCGAAGGGACGTCGTCGACGGTCGTATTCCAGTAGTCGCGGCTTGTCGGCGAGAGCGAAGTGGTCCTCTCGTATCCAAGGAGTCGAGGCTTGTCGCGCAGAATTAGGGGAAAGTTGTTTGGAGAAGGGAGGAGTCGTTTTCGAACAGAAGGGAGGAGTCGCGGCTTCTCGTCGGGAGTGAAGATAGGCTCTCGTCGGTCGCGCAGAATTAGGGCAAAATTGGTGTCGAAGAAGAAGGAATAAATCGAGTTCGGTGGGGATTATTTTGATCGAAGAAAGAAGAAGGGCAATATAGTATTTGGCTTGTATACCATGTCAGTTAATCCTTCGAAGTAAACGAGGGATAGATTTATGAAAATTCCATCTCAAAAAGTAAACAAAGGACTAAATGCTGACATGGAAAGTGATATTGATTAATTTGTCTTATCCCATCTTGCAAAGTAAACGAGCCCCCGTATAGCCTATGAGAAGTCTCAACTTGTCGAGAACCCAATCATAACTGGCCTCTTTCTCGTCCTTCATGAGGGCATACGTAATTAAAAAGTTATTGTTGCACGGCGTCATGCCAATCATCTCGACCAACGGCATCTTGTACCTGTGAAAATCAGACCAAAAGAAATAAATTATAATCACATTAAATCTAATCCAAAATACAAATTTAAATTAATACTAATAACATATCTATAAATTTAAAATACCTGTTGGTTTTGTACGTCGAATCTATGCCGACAAACCAATAATAAGTCCGGAATAGACTCACTGAATCAGGATGGGCCATGAATATGTGTGTCAGCGCATTTGTATTCGGATCGACATTTGTATAAACTATGTAGTTGCTGCTGTTTGCCAAATGTAGAAGTTGGGTAGGAACGTCCCTTCCCTCAAAACTTTCCTTACGCAACCAGTCTCTATAGTTATATACATGTCGCCGATTAGCATGGTCGTGTGGATTTTTTTCATGGACGGCGGCCAAAATATTTGCTGGTGTCACATGCGCAGCAGTCATTTCACGAATAATTTTTTTGGATGACACGCTTATGCCGCTCGACTGTCGATGGCCCTCAGGATACACGACAAATGAATGATTATGGTATCCCTTCGTTTCGTCTTGACTCGTGTGGATCATCCAGTATGTCGATCTGGCAACACGCTTTACTTGTATCTCAAAAGGGCACTGGCACGCTTTCGTTTTTGAACGTCTCGAAACAGCTTTATTTATATCTATGTTTTTACCTCTATAACGTTCGCCTCGATCGCACTTCAAGATCTTCAGCCTTCCGGGTTTTTTGTGTTTCGAAATAGTCAAAAAGAAACCATTCAGAATTGCCGTACTTTTTGCATCCTTAATAGCCTCCACATCACTAATAAACAGCGTAGTTGTATTGAAAGCGGAACGGTAATCAACACCATCTCCTCCAAAATCTTCTAAAGACACCTGCAATGCATTTAATAATTTTAAAGCATTTAAAATTAATAATAAAAAAAAATAAAAAAAATAAAAAAAGGATGTCCGGCCGGTCGGACCGGTCGGACCGGGTTACAACCGGCCGTCGCGGCCGGACACCAAGTGGGCCGTACGACCGGTCCGTTAGTACAACCACCGGTACGTACGACCACCAAAACCGGACGGCCGGGGGTGTGTCCGGTCGAACAGGCTGGACGTGTGTTAAGCCGTCCGGTCCGGTTGGCCGGACATCACCGGTGCCGTGCGGTAAAACGGGCCGGACGGTTTTTTTTTACCTCCGAGCTGGTCGACATCTTGCGGACACAAAAAATGAAAATGGCAAAATCGTCTAAGGGGGGCGGTGACTAGTAATAAGGGGGCGGTAAATAGTAATGCCCTATATTTTATTACATGTAACCTACCAAATTATGATTTTTTTTTGTTCATGCACTTTATTTATCAAATTTATATCCATAATACTTATCTTGCTAAATTATAGTACGATTGTTTTTATTGGTTGAGTGTGCAAAATATAAATTTGTAGTCAAAAGTGAATAAAAAAATGAGACTACTTGGTGGATTTAGTGTAATTTTGAAAATTGAAAAGCACGCCTAATCTAGATTGTAGACAAATTAATGTCGTTTCTTGAAAATTCAAAAATCTGAAGAAAAGGAAAATATACTACGAGCCCAGGCCTAGCCGGCGCCAATACTCTGCCTCGTCGGCATCCTCACTTCACTTCACCCTTTGAAGCGAATCGAAGAAAACCGGAATACCAGTATACAATCACGGATCGCGCTCTCGATCTGCAGTAGAAACCGGCATTTCCCTCACCGGAATATGAGCGGGCCCCGTTTGTGCGGGTTATTGGCGGAATTGGGGTACGAAGGTCACGGGTCGCTTGACCCGGACAGCTTCGAGTGGCCCTTCCAGTACGACGACGTTCGACCCATTCTCGACTGGCTCTGCTCTAGCCTCCGCCCCTCAAACGTCCTCTCCCCTTCCGAGCTCTCCCAGTAAGCATTCTGATTTCACTATTTTCTGCTTATGAATGTGGTGCTTGGATAACAAGTTGTTGGGATGGTTCTGCTGAAATGGGGCTAAGTTTGCTAAATAGTGTGGGAGATAAGAGCTTGTTTCTTTGGCTTTTGTTTAGTATGTACTTTTATTCTTGAGTGGATGTGGTTTTGGAGGTATTGAAATCAGATGGGTTTTGGATGCAGTGGCTTTTCTGTTTAGTTTTTGTTTGGGGTTCCCCGGGTACTGCAATCTTGGATAGTTTTGTGAAATCCGAGTGCATATATTCTCTGCCTGCGTCTTGTGGCTCTTTTAATGGTTTAATTTAATCCGTTTTAACATTTTCAATCTGGTAAGTTCATACAATTATTGTTTGTTGAACAACATGTTGGGAGCCACAATTGAATGAAATTGTTTGGAAGTTGTTGTTCATGATTTTATTCAATCAGATCGATATCTTATATTTTTTATTTATCGTGTTTACTTTTGAACTTTATATTTAACATGGGCAAGATGATTATTTCATAAAATTTTGTGTATTATATACCAAAAGAATTAAGTACTATAAGTTTCTTATTAAGTTTAAATAAAAGTGAAAAAGAAAGAGATAAATTAAGTAATATTAGAACACACAGTTTAGTAAACTAGTTTATATGCAATTTCATTTGTATTAGTAATGTTACTATTTCCTTATTTAGTAAGAGAAAATGAGCTGAAAAAATAGCATTCTTAATTATATAGATGTAGCTTTGTTATACATCAATATATTCCTTCCTTTCTGATGATGTGAGAATTAGTTAGTGCCGTTGCTGTTTTTCTTGTCATATTGAATTTTGCATTATGATTGAATGTGTATGCTTAGGATTTAATTTCTTACATTGACATGGTTCCATGTCTGTAATCATGCCTTTTGTCTTACTAGGTACGAGCAATTTCTGCAAGAAGGAAAGCTTTTGGAGGTATGGCCATGTATGCAATTTTTGTTTATTGGTTTTCTGTCATTATCATTTCTGCCTTAGGCTAAATTGTCAAAGTAAATTGCTTAGTGGCATTAATTATGATGCTTTCTCAGAATTTAAAATGTGAAGCTTTTAGTTGATGTTTGTTTGAAACTTTGCTGTTCTTCACATGATGGATTCGGGTGATGAACCTGAAGGTCTGTGATAAAGCTAAATGTGTGATTAAATGGGCAGTTCTGTATAAGCAATTGCCAACAAATTGATCTTATTAATTCTGGCAATTGATTCAGTCTTGAATTGTTTTAAAGCTCCTTGAGTATTAATTATCTTTGAGGGGAATGTGAGCTTTTAATATCAAAAGCGTTTGGCTGAGTTCGTCCAGCACTCTTGCATAATTGTACTCAGAATGTAAGAAGACTAATATAAAGGTTATGAATTATGGGATGGTATTGGGTAATAAAATAATGTGTCAATCATTAATGGTACATGAGCTACGTGCGCCATATTAGTAACCCTTTGGAGATTTACATGGTGATTTATCGTTCAATGTGTTGGCAAACCACCTTTATTTCTACAGAATTTTGTGGCTCTGAGCCGGTAGTTTCTGTGTAAAGCATACGCCTATTGTTTTGTATTTATTTTAATGGATGTATGTGTTACATGCCATTAGGGAGAGGATTTGGACTTTGCTTATGACAGCATTTCAGCCTTTTCAGTAAGGAGGGACAATCAAGAGGCAGTTTTTGGAACTGAAGAAGGTCTAAAAGAAATACGGTACAAACTATCTTATGCTTCTTTTGTTTTTCTTATGCTTCTGTTGTTTTATTTGCATTTATTAGCTGAGAATGGAAATTTTCTAGTTCTTAGTTTGTTTGTTTGATTATGCTTTTAGTTGGTTGATGGATAAAACATGAGTTCTTGGCCTTGATAGAAGTAAGATGCAAGGCCTCCCTGGTGCCTGCTCTAGTTGAATCAGATTGTGACGTAACTTGAATTTGAGGATCAATTATGCTTATGGGCATAATAAGTGCAACAATGATTACAAAAGTCTTGGTTGGACGACTTAGTGAGTAGGAACGTGAAATTTCATAAAAATGGCTCAATAGAAGATACTGTGTAATCACAAGATAAAAATATCTCATTACCACTCCGGACAAAAAGCCACCATAACCTTAATTTAACTCCTTAGCACTTTTGTTGTCCTAATTCAATTTGTTGCCTTATTGGTATTGCACTGCTCTGCCTAAAATAAAAATAGATCATAGTTTATCCTCTTGGCCTTCAAGAGGCTGTGGTGGTGCAATTTTCCTGGTTTGCCCTATTTCCCAGACTTGGTTTTGTGTCAGTGATGCTACTTTGGCGGCAAAAGCTGAAGCTTTGGAATTACAGAAGCAGCTCCGGCATCTGCAGTTACGAAACGATATGCTCTCAGGACAGGCTTCAGCACTAGTCCAAGGGAGAAGATCACGAGTTGCTGCAACTTCCACTGCCAACGGGCAATTGACTACAATTGACGATAGCCTATCAGCAAGGAATTTGGAGGTATGCTAATGCCTAATAAGTCCATCTTCTCTACTTTCCCCAATTTTTTGTTAATAATGCAGTTCATTATCAACTTTTTGGTCGGCATTGGATGCGAATTTGTTTTTTCGGCATACTCTTATGAAAATATTTGATGGTGGTCTTTGGATTTTATGCACTCCCTGTAGTTTCAATTTTAGGGCAATGTGAGTTCTTTTATTAAGATTGAGAATATAGATTTGGGTTTTTGTCCTAAAAAGTGGTTGTTGAGACAGTCCATGGTTTTTGGTTGGGATCAAGAGGAATTTATGTCTTTATCTGTATCTGGAAATGATGTCTGATGTTGTAATAGGAGTAATTAATTTGAGATGGAAGGAGATCGAGTTATCTTAATTATATTGATAGCTTGTATTTAGGATTTATACCAATTGTTAGGGATTTACTGCAAAAAAAAAAAAAAAAAAAAAAACTTATTTAACATTCAGGTGATTGCTACAGTATAAGTTTGAAGTCTAGACAAAATACTGCAGCTACTTCTTCTTATTTCCTTCACACCTTCAGACTTTTTCACATTGATTTTGTTGGTGAATTGTAATCATGTTTAATTTTATCCGCTGTGTCCTTTTCGTGAAGATTCACATAGCTGGATGTCATTTTTCATAGTTTTTGATAGATTTCTATTAGGCCTTTCGTGTCCAGAGAGACCTTTAAGAAAAGACTACTCCTTACTATTTCCCATCTTGTGCATTTTATATATGTGTTCTGTAACTTTAGAAAGTTGAAACAATAGTGCGAGCAGTTATTTTTGTGCAACATTCACCCATGAGATGGACCTTACTTTTTATAATTATTCAAGTCTAACTTTGCATGCTTCTTAACTGTTTAGCAGCGAGGAGAGTGTGATACATATACATTTGTGTCAAATATAATTCATATTGAAGGTAGCTTGTGGAAATTCATTCACATCTTTTCATATACTATTTTAATTATGAGTATTATTATTCTGTTTTAGATGAATGCAGTTCTTGGACGGATCGCATCAACTGCTCAAGAGTTGGCACATTATCATTCAGGGGAAGGTACTGTATTTTCGTATCCCTCATATGTTATAAGAGATAGATCATGGTATTTATTCTATGTTTTGCTGTTAATTAAAATGTTAAGAACTATTATTTTATAGTAGTAGTCATTATACTAAGAATAAAAAAAAAATATTTTTATCTGCCTTTAAGAAGGTTGAATTTCTCCATATACTTTTTTTTTATTAGATAAGAATTTTACTACGAAACAGAAAAAATGAGATATTATACCTCTTTCAAGTATGAAAGCATGTGTGCTGTATGTCAGTGTTAGCTCTGAGTGTAATGTTTTCTAAGATAGAATATCTGCTCTAGAATCGGCAATAAAAAGATCTCGACTGTTGATGGTATGACACCATATTAATGTCATTGTAGAACTGACCCTGATATTGTGACAATTAGATTGTATGACACAACCATGGTATGACACAAACACAACTTCAACCTGTTGAAATTATACTTGAGATGCTTTGCTCCAGCGGTTCCAGTTTAGATATAGTATGTCTTTGAGTGGCCTTTTAACATTCTGGGCATGCAGATGAAGGAATCTACTTGGCGTATGCTGACTTCCATTCGTATTTGCTCACTGATGCCTCATGCATGAAGGAACTCAATCAGTGGTTCTCAAAGCAACTGGATTCGGTACAGAAGTTCTCTCTCTTTCTCTCTCTGTGTCTGTGTGTGTGTGTGTGTGTGTAATTAAAATATCTAGCATATAAACTGGGTAGACCACAATTTCTGTATGGATTACATAATTGGATGTTTTTTATCCTCTTAACGATAGTAAGGACTTCTGTTTGAGTGGACTTAGTAGGATGCACAGAATTGATGCTAGCCACCAAAACTGTAGGAGAAAAGTAGTCGTGGTTGATCAATTACAGAACATGCAACTTGGTTAATGCGTGCCAGCCCTTTCGGCTGCTGTTCTCATCTCATAGTTTAATCTGGGGAAGCACTGTGCGTGCTTCTGACACTATCATAGATCTTGTGGCTGCTATTTTTAAAATATAATGCAGTATGTACACTCACTACTCACATAGTATGTCATTTGTCTTTTCATCTGAAAAGCTATTGCATAAAAGAAGTTTGGTGATAACGCGAGTGAGAATGTTTGGAGTGTCAATGATACGCCTATGTAGATCTATAAGTGCCTATAAGGAAGTGCTTGGATATAATTTTAACTCAACCCCAACCCTCCTCAATATTATCAATGTAATTAAATAATACCAATCAATCATCCTCACACATCACATCAACTTTTATTCACTATTCATCCACTCACATAATTTTAACTACGCATCACTTCCAATAACCCCTCTCTTACATTTACATCAAATCATTTAATTATTTTATTTTAAATATTAGTTTAATACAAACTCAAAATCCTACTCAAACCTAACCCAACCAACTTTTTCAAAATTAACTCTGATTAATCAAAAAAGTCAAACAAAACCAAAATATCCAGGCTAAAACTTATATCCAAGCACACATTAAAATATTTAAACATAAACTTTTAACTTCATCACCAAATAATAGTGGTAAGGTAGTTAAAGTTCTCTGTGTCTTATGGTCTCATATTCCACTAATGCCTCATAGTTATTTGGCTTTAGTTAGTCATATATTTATGGTTTTAACATTTAGCTGTTTGAGTGCATTCCCAAATTCACTTGTGCAAGTTAATTATTTTACCTTGTTGAGTAATTATGACCTCTAGTTCCAATTTCAGTGGGATGATAAGGATATGTTAGAACAAATTGGTTATATTGGGCGAAACATCATTATTTAATTGCAAGTTTGGGAGAAAGTTAGCCTAATAGTTGGTTATATTGTATTTTTTGGCATCTCTTGCAACTAGGGTCCTTACAGGTTAGTGGTTGAGGAGGGGAAATCAAAATGTTCGTGGGTGAGCCTCAATGAGGTCTCAAATGTTTTGGTGCGAGGTACCAGTTCCCTCTCTCTTCCTTCCACTGTATGTGCGATTTTGAAAATGTAGTAACTCGTATATACTGGGATACAACTCAAAGGCCTACCAACCACTGCTAATTATGCTTGTTATGTCGAGCATCCTTGCTGAGTTGTTTTACTTGAATGCTGTGCCAGATACAGAGAACACCCAACATCAACGTCTTTCTGAATTGCAGAGGCTTCGCTCCATGTATGTGCTTTTGTTTGTATGATTTTAATGGATTTTGCGTTTCTTGATTGATTGGTGTGTCTCAACTGATAACTTGTGCTAACATATGACAACACTTTACACATATACATATATGTGTGTGTGTGTGTGTGTGTGTAGTTACAAGTACATATATTATTGTTTTACTTCTCTTCATTCTGTAATGAAAGTCTTGTCTCTGATAACTCATTCCTGCCAATTTCTTGTTCCAGTTTTGGAACAAGTGAAAGACAGTGGGTAGAAGCTCAGGTTGAGAACGCTAAGCAGCAAGCCCTCCTCACAACACTGAAAGCTCAAGTGACATCAGATGAAGCTCACATCCATCTTGACCTTCATTCTCTTCGGTAGTACTCAATCTTGCCTGATATTTTTTTAATCTTCTGCAATGATGCTGCGGTGGTCGGCTAAATTGTTTGTTGAGAAATATAGTGTTGTTTCTGATGTTGTTTTCTGATTTTCCTGCCCTGATCTAAAAATTTTAGCTTCCATATTCTCTTACTATTTTGGAAGAAAATCACTTTTCAAGAAGGTAAAAATGATTGTCTGAATTTTTTGATCGGTCATATGGGTTCATATTAACAAGGATGATCAGTGGAATGTTAATGTCTGTAATTTTGTTTGGTCGGGAAAGAGCAGGAGAAGAAGCCCTGGAGGACTGGTGTTATCCTTGTGGTCTAGTAAACTTGGAGGAACAGTATAAGCTTCGTGTTTAAATCCCTCTTAGTCATGCCATTGATATATAACGGTATTAGGAGTAAATAACTGAAACTTTTTTTGTTCTTGAAAGAAAAGCACAACTTCATGGAAGCGCTGGCATGGAATGTGTGGTGTGTTTGCGTGCGTGCGTACAGGTTATAATCTGTTGACACATTGGAGAAGCTAGACATTAGATATATGGATAAACTAGATAGAGAACATGGTCATGGTGCATCATCCATATCTTTATGCTCTTTAGTCAGCTATTGTACCATTACTATCGTAAGTTCGATATTCTGTTTTAGTTGGTAAAGTTCTAGAATTTTTTGATTTGTAAGGTTCAATAATTTTAACTAATTATCCTATGTGTTATAAAACTGGAAACATAAGGTATTTAATCGGTCCATGTTCTGTGATTAATACATCTCCACGAGATTAGGTGAAGCTGGGATGTTGCTGATTAAATACTGTGTTAGGGCCAATTAGTTAGTTGTGCTTATCTAAACTAAAGAATTGCTACTTATGTGTATAATACATAAATCACTTATAGTTGATGGAGAATAGTTCTCTCTTCACTCTTCATAGTAATCTTAGTCCTCATACATTTGGACATAACTAGCAGGTGCAAGAATTTCCTGTTTTCTTGGCATTTGTAACCGTGAGTTTCTGACAATTGATATTGTCCTTGAGCAGGAGAAAACATGCTGAACTAGCGGGAGAACTTTCGACTTTATATCGGAAAGAAGAGAAGTTATTATCTGAGGTTTGTAATTTCGTACCTGCAACAAGTATTGCCAAATATATCTAGTGGTTTTTCAAAGTCTTCACTGTAACATGACTAGCGATTGTTATTTTTTACTTTTTGTCATGCATGTATTTTCCTTTGGTCATTCAATCTTTGTTTGCTAGTGCAAATGTAATAGGAGTTTTATAATGGTAGTAAGAGCCTCTTTTGCTTATCTTGAGGGTGGAACTGAGTTTCGTGTTCTTTCTTTTTATCTTTGTCTTTTGTAGACTTTAAGTATTAGCTGTAGAATATGCAATTGTATGTCATTCCATCACTACGACTACGGACAAGTACAATATGCATTTTAGCACCCGAATGGGCAATATATTGAAAGCAACTTCAGTTGTTTTATTACCAGTGTCATGCCATGCTCTCTGTCTATTTTATTACCAGTGTCTCAAATTTTCCCTTTTTGCTTATGTCTGTAGACAATTCCTGATCTTTGCTGGGAGCTGGCACAGCTACAAGACACATACATCTTGCAAGGTACAAATCATTGCATCCTGGTTACTAGTTTCCAGTAAATTTATAGGTATCTCGTGTTCTCACTTTATATTCACGTGCTTCGAGTTAATGATAATCTCAACTTCTTTGTAATTTATTCAGGGGATTATGATCTTAAAGTCATGCGTCAAGAATTTTACATCAATCGACAAAAAGCGGTATGTATGGCAAGTTCTCCTATTTTTATGCTCTGTAACTGCTTTTGTGACGTTTGATTGTGACGATACCTTTTGTGGTTAATCAACCATAAGTTTGCCTGTTTTTTATGGTGCGTTTGAAAATTTCCCCAACTACAGAACATTTTCCATGATTGCTTACAAATTTCTATTTTTACAAGTTAACTCACTTCAGATCATTTTTATTTTCTACAGTTCATAAACCATTTGATCTATCAGCTATCAAGGCATCAATTTTTGAAACTAGCCTGTCAGTTGGAAAAAAAGACTATGCTTGGAGCCTATTCCTTGCTTAAAGTTATTGAGCTGGAGTTGCAAGGCTACCTGTCATCAAGCAATGGCCGAGTGGTATGCTTTCAGTGTATAGATTTTATTTGCTATCTAGGATTAGTTCTAAAATAACAACCTTGAAAACACAAGCTTTCTCTCTCCTCTGAAGCTTTCTCTCTCCTCTGCGTATTATATCTCACTTGTTAAAACCTGCTTTATATCCTCCAAGAGTCGTTGTATGTCATTGGCTCAAGCTGCATCTGATGTGGCCGAACAAGGAGCAGTAGATGATCGTGACACTTTTCTCCATGGAGTCAGAGATCTGTTGAGCATTTATTCAAGTAAGACAATTTAAAGAGAGAGTGTTGTTCATTGTGAAATAATTAACGAAACATGTGATTATGTAAAATTTTCATTAATATTTATTTAAATTTTTTTTCAGATGCGCAAGCTGGTATATCGACATATGTATCTGTACCGGGCATTGTTCAGCAACTGTCTAACCTTCAATCAGACCTGATGAGCCTGCAGTCTGACCTAGAATATGCTCTTCCTGGGGACAGAAACAGATGTATCAATGAACTGTGAGTTTGCTCTATTACTATCCATATGTATTTTCCCCCCCCTACTAAAACCCATTCAAATTTGAATAATGGTTCTTATGAGCCTCTATAATTTCTATTTTGTAGGAGCCTGTAACAAAATAAAATTTATGACGACATATTTTTTTCTTGTTAAATATGGAACAGCCAACGAGAAGCTCCATGGCTATTTTGAAAATAAAGAAAATAAGAAACTATGGTGCATAAGTATTTAAGTTTTTCTAATGGTATTATTTCAGGTGTACCCTTGTTCAAAGTCTGCAGCAATTATTATTTGCATCATCCACAACCGCACAACCGATCCTAACACCCTGGGTAGATATTTTTCCATTTAAATTGTATTTATCTTGGAATGCATGCAAAGAATCTTTCTTTATCTTTAGCATCATTTTCTGACTTTTTTTTTTTTGGCTATCTGTGTGTTATATTTCCTTTCTGTTTAGTCTCTAATGAAGGCACTAGATGAAATGGAAAAAGTTAATGCAAACCTCTCGACTGCAGTTGAAGATGTGACGCTTGAACATTGCAAGAAAACTGAGGTAACCTTTTCATTAATATTTCTTGAGATATATAAACACACTTTGATATGATTATCTCATGCAATAGCCTCGACTTTTCATTGATGCTACTTCTGGGAGTTCGTGTATTTTCTTCTTTTGTTATTGTTTTTCCTTTCAAAACCTTTATTATATTGTACTGGTCCACATGTTGAAATGCAGATAGTTAAGCATCATAGCCAAGAAATGGCGCTTCAAAGGCGGGTGTTTGTTGAGTTTTTCTGCAACCCTGAACATCTGAGGAACCAAGTCAAGGAGTTAACCGCGCGTGTTAGGGCCATGCAGCCATCTTAGTTCCCGTGCGGTGTACTTTCAGTTTTTTTTGTTTCTTCTTCTTTTGGGTTCAAGATATGTAATTTGTTTGTAAATACCCTGTTTTTCCCATGTTTGTTGTTTTGAAATACAACTGGGATTGGAATGTGTGTGCCATAGGTTCAAAAGCATAGCTGAAGCTATATGTATTGTTTTCAATCTTTGTATTAGAGGAGATAGCGCGATGTGAAGTACCATATCTAGTTAATGTCATATTCTACAGATTTTTATTTTTTTTTTTCAAAAAAAAAAAAA